TAAGTAATGGATACAGTTAAATTTCCATCTAGATTTTCGTGAAATTGTTGATAAAGGACCAAAGATATTTTGAATAAAGTTTTTTTAACGTAGAAAAATTCTACGTTAAAAAATTCCTTGAATTTTTCCTTGCTTGATATACCAACTAAATCAATATTTAAAAAAAAGAAAGATTTACATTATTTAAATGAGGACAAATATTAGAAATAAGTGTCTAATATCACGACTGCAAATAAGTACAATTTAATGCCTTACATATAATTATTATTGTTATTAAAGACTTGAGATATTTTAAATGTAATGCATGCGAGAAAATGGAATTTGCCAGTATTACGAACATTGTATTACCCTTTACATAATTTTTAATTAAGCGAATTTGTCTATCTGTGTATGCCATGTATTTTTATCTATAAATTTTGCACACTACGTTTTTAGAAATGCCAAAATATTTTTACTCATAATATCGTTACTTAAGATTTATAGTTTGATAATAATTGATTTTTGTACTGTGCGTTATCGTAATAAATTACTTTTTTCATAAGATGTTACCTTACGTTATCATCCTTTTTATTTCGCTACAAAAATTATTACCTACTATTTTACGTATAATTATTTTATCACTATAATAATTGAACACAATTTTAAATAACCCTAAATCTACAAAATGTTCTACTTCTTCAAAATTCTATTAAAAATTACTTCAATAAATATCCTATTAATTTAAAGTAGCTACTCTATAATTCTTCCAACAAATTCTACGCTGTAAATTTCCAGTTGGAATATTTCATAATTTTTTCGTCGATGAAAAAAGGAAGAAGAAACGCTTATTCATTAATTCAGAGAATCAAATCAAGTGTTTTGTGCAAAACAAGATTTGGCCTTGTAATCAGTCAGTATTCCTCATCAGACGCGGAAGTTTGGGTGGAAAGACATTTTGATAGCTGATTAAGCAAATTTCATAAACTGGTACTCAAGAGGAAGTGTCTGTAGAGACACGAGTTCTTATTGTTGAGGATCGTGTCGCGTCTACGTGTCGCCTTTCCAAGGATCCCGGCAGCTTCTGGTATCCATGTCTGCTGAAACACTTTTGAACCAGAAAGGCGCCGGTTCGTCGCCTACTCGACCATGTCTGGATTTGTCGACGAGCTTCCGTACCACGGATACATCTCTCAATGCGCTCTTTTTTTTTTTCTCTCTCTTTTTCTTTCTTCCGAGTTTCCCTGCGAAACGAGCATTGTGCATTGCATTCAACTGCACTTGTGCATCGGTCGTGATCGTGAGAATGTCGAGCAGTTTGCCATCGTGATGATGAAATGAGGGTCAGAAGTTGGTCGGAAGTTTATTGTTAATAACAAAAACGGACGATTTCTTGAGTTTCTTAGCGAAATGGTTTCTTATAGTAGTTTGAAGTAGATATGTTTTTTTTTCTTTTTACAAGAATAGAGTTTGAAATGTTGCTCAGTTTTGTATTTTATTTAGTTCTTACATGTTTTATATTACATATTATACAGTGTGAGTAGATATTTGTCTCTTATGAATTTAATTGTACTTTATTACATTGTTATGCTATTTTTTCTTCTCAAGTACAGTTGATTTAAAGATCATTTTCGTTTCCTATTTCACTTGTTGGACAAATATTCCTTCTACTTCTTAGGATAGAATCCTTTTTATCTTATCTTAGAATTTTTTTTTCTAATAAATTAACTAATGCAAAAATTTAAACGAAAATTATCAGATTTGCTGAAATGAAATAATTTGGATATGTAGTAATAAGATGAAGATAGTTAGTAGCTTTAATAATACTAAGACGATCAGAATAGTCCAAATGATATACGAATAATTCTTACAATTAGTGAGATATAGGCTCGCATTATGAACTTTCCTTATTTTTTGCATTTTAATTCCTTCGATAAAAATTTTTTCAAACGCCTTTAAAAAACTACCATCTTTTCTTTTACAATTGTACTGTGCGTAACAAACGTATCTTTTTGTTGCAGAATCGCTCATCACTTTGTTCGAACGTGCAAATCATCGGAACAGTCGATTGCATAACGGCGTTTCGACGATCGAAAAAAGACAGTTGTACCTGTTCGTTGGACATTGTCGTGAATACATTTATAAAGGTTCAGTGGAACAGTTAACGGGATTGATAGGTTACGAGTGTAACATTTTTCCGGACGGTGCGTATCACGTTTGAATACGTAATCACATTCCAGAATCGGACTACAAGCGTTGCGATACCGTACAAAGATCGATTTGTCCTCGAGCACCTGTATATTTCATCGATTAAGCAACGAAGAATATGTTCAATCTAGATACAGTTTACACCCATCCTCTGATATCAATGAATTTAAAGCACACGACATATTTATGCTTCGTATTTGCAAGTGACTCAGTCATTTTATACATAAAGTGTTCATCATGTGTAAGGTTGTTTTTTTAATTAAATGGGTAAAATCTTTCCAATGCAATTTCTCCTTCCAATTTGTTGAATTATTTTATATAAGACTTTTGTTGTAATCAACTGTAAGTCTTGATATGATATAATCCAGGAGAAATGAAATGACACGAAAAAAAAAAAAAATAGGTAAAAGATACGCTAATCAGTTTCTATATAAACAAGAAAATATAAAACGGTATTTTCTCAACCATGTTGATCATCAATGCTTTTAAGTTAATTCCTCGTTTCTATATTACTTACTTCGTGTTTTATATACAGTCTTGTATGTTCCACTTTTCCTACAACTTTCGCGATTCTGTCACTAAAACGTGACAGATTTACCTTCGGGTACGCAGCATCTCTCGTCGCCACGTCCGTTATTATACTTAGGACAATACGGTGGATGTTTGTTGGTGAAGCAGAAAGAGCCCCTAGTTCCGACCGGTGTATGCTGGCCCATGGCCACGTACTCGCCGGCCCTGAGAGCAATCCTTGGCCCAGAAGGACACCTTCTTGAACATGGCTCTGCCATCGACTCCTGCCCGGTGTTGTCGATGCTCTGGGCCATGTAACATACAACCCAGACGTGGCTGCATAGCTGATAATTCGAGGTGTTCTCGCAAAACGGCTGCATTTTGCCACCGTTCACGCAGAAATCCACGTGTCCCATGCGGCCACTCTCTCCGTAGTATCCTGCGTTCGTATGAATCACTTGGACGAAATCTGCGTCCCCGCTGTCCAGACGATTTACATATCCAGGGCGTAGCAGAGGTCTGGCCGGATCTAGACCGATTATCCGATGCATCCTGAACAGTAGAAAGTTCGCCATGATTCCACAGATGTGGGCGCCCAACGAGTGTCCCACGCAGGTTGTCCTCGAGATGGGTAAACCTAGGTTTCGCAAGGTGGTCAGAGTGCCTGCCAAACAACGTGCAACTGGACGAAGATTCGATACAGCTGCTGGGTAACAGGGTGGAGCGCACAAGGCACCCCAATCGACTAGGAACACGTTGTAACTTCCGTTTCTGAGGTAGGCATCACGAAGCACGGATATGGGGAGGGTGTCGTCACCACCTGAAATGAGAAACAGAAAATTGTGTCAGAATTGAAATTTTCTAGTAGGAGAATAATAGGAGAGATTGAAAAAAAATGGAACCTAAGTATTTAGGAAGTTACTTATTGATGATTATAAGAAGTGTGCATATTTGCATCTTCAAATTTTTCATAAAAATTTGCAGTCCATATAATAATGAAATAATATAATATTTAGCAGAAGATCTAATAATCTGAAAGTCTGAGAAAAAGCTTCATTGAGTTGCCATGACAATCTCGAATTAGTAACACTCAGTTAGATACTACAAGTTGTATCAAACAAGAAATAAATTTCCACTGAAACACTCTTAGGAGTATCACCACGATTTTCCTCGTTGCACCAAGAACTCGACTCGACGATTTGATTAAATATCTATGAACCTGCGTATCCGTGTATCAGAAGGACGTTTTCCTTGATCGGATCGTAATCCTGTCGCAACCAGTCGGACTCTCTTGAATCAAGTTCACGCCTTGGTCGATCGGACGTATAAAGGTAGACTTTAACATCAGGATCGGGGCACGAATCTTTATCATTTCCTCTTCTCCAGACGCAATCTTTTCGATCGTATTGCGCCGCGACACCATTTTGAATCGCCTCTTGAATGGGACCGCGTGGTTCTTTGACCGCAGTTGCAAAAATTTCGACAGAGAAGAACACTGTGAACAGGAAGACCGATAATCTGAACGTTGACACTCGCATTCTCGCGATGCCAGAGCGTTTAATCGTGATCACGGCTATAGGAGAACTGATCGTGTGCACGGTGATTCTTCGAGTGTCGTCTTGTCCTTCTTCGAACTCCCACCTGTCTCACCTGGCGATTCTTGTTAGACAATTAGGGAATGGATGGAAGGGAGGAACAGCGAGTTTTAATCTGTGTCATCGATTACGAGATATGAGAACTACAAATAAGAATGTGTCGACGTTTCCTGTGTATTTTGGCGGAGTCACTTTCGATACAGGTCGTGGCATGTCGTAAGGCTATAATAAGTATGGTAATTTTCGGTGAATTGAATAGAGATCGTACGGTGAACTTGGAACATATATGTGAATGGAGAAACCTGTTTTCTTCCTACCGGTGTCTTACACAAGGTAGCACGTGTTCGGAGATTATTACGATTATTATCTTCGTTACAGAAATTGAAATTATTCACAGATTATGAATGGAAAGGCTATGAAAGGAAATTTCAAGAACTTGCTTAATATCTTTTTGTTATTTTTAGCAGATTTTTATGCAAATCCATATTTTACGAAAATAATTGAAAGAGTAGAGGTTCAATTCATCTATTAAATATTATAATAAGTAGGTACTATATTTTGAATATTTTACATATTTTCGTGTGTGAATCCAATGATTAGACCTTCGCCTGGATTCTATAATTTTATGAAATTTTAATAAAAATAAAGCGTTCATAATGTGTTTATAAAGTGTTATCTACGACAAACTCTTGTTTGCTCTTTGTTGGTTCAATTTGTCCTCATTTTCATCTTTTATACGAATACTTGTTTATTTTACATTCTTTAAAGTAATCGTTATGTATTTTTGCAATCAGCTATTTTAGCAATTTTAGTATAAAAAAGTTAAATCAAACATAAAGATAGCCAAGTAGTAATATCTCTATATATGAGAATAATTTCTATTTGAAGATCGAGCGCGTGTTTTAACTCTCTTTCTTTGAACTGCTAAAGTTTTACGAGAATCGGGCAAAATGTGTCCACGTATGTGTTTCATGGAAAGTTGCGAAAGTGCATCAGCATACTTTTAGAAATTCCGATGAGTGAAAATTTGGCACCATGGTATTGAAATCATTTCGGTATTCTTCCTTTGTTTATCGGCAACGCAGGCTAAGTGAAACACAAACAGAGCTACAGTGAACGAGCGCTTTCTTTTCTTCTTGTGAAATGTTTCTTTTGAAACAGGATGATAATAATGCCTAATATTGACGGCGGAGAAAAAAAGAAGAAAGTTTGCTGAGAAATAATCGACTATGCAAATTAGGACGCTGGCAGAAAGCGTGGAAAATCTAACATCTAATATCGGCTCGCTAAGATTTTTAATTAGAGAATTAATAAAAATCTGCAAGGTAATAATGTAATTACAATTAGTGCCAGAATATTTGCCGTGGATGTATTACCATTTAAATAACAAAGTTCCATTTCATTCGTAACACTGTAAGTATTGCAGGAAATATTTTGTAACGAAATCTGAGATATTAGCAGAAAGTGTGAAAAATTGATGTTTCGTTTTAATTAAGACATTTCACGTTTCATCAGTGTGCCTCGTTTTTACTTTCGTATGCTCCTAATCCTTATACTCTTACGTAAAAAATTTGTGATATTTGAAAAGGAAGTATGTTGCATAGAAATATGTCTAAAAAAAAAAAGATGAAAACGAGAACAACTAACAGAGTTGAAAATTACCATTATTTACGAAGGAAGTCGAAGAGAATTTTATGTTCGAAAAAAAAAAGAAATTGTTAAAAAAATGTTGCAAATAGATTGTATATTGCCTTTACATTAAGTTGTAAATGAAAAATGAAAAGTAATAAAATATTGCACATAGTTGCTTGTTTTTAGCCTTGCATGCATATTAAATTAGATATCCTAGAATATTAAACGTTATAAATATAATTCATAAAATCGAAGCGATTTATACATTAAAATTTCCAATAAGAATCTTCCAATTCAATTATAATTTTATTTATTATTTTTCACGCTTCTGTTCCTTTGTTGATTTGTATAGGATATTTATATAGGATATCAATATTCCGAGAATTACTGTGTAAAGAGAAAGTTCCTAATTTTGTTAGTTCATGGACTGACAATGAGTGAAAGTGATTTAAAATACAAATAGATATTTGAAACAACGAAAATTGTTCGTAGGTAACTTTTTCAAAATTTATTTTCCATATGAAAAGTACAATACACTTTTATGAATTTATGAATTTCATCAATGTGAATACTTGCTTTATTCTAGGTATAGAAGAATCTCATCTTTTGTTACACTTATTTTGGTTGCTAAAGGGTATAATTTATGATTTTATTATTCATTCTCTTCTTCACTAATGACATAACAGCTTGGAAGGTTGGCCAAAAGCATTTTCTTGAATTGTGGCAAATGTTTGATTTATTATTCGTAATATATTAACAAAAATACCGTATGCTTGCGATACTAATTATATTTATATATGTGTTGATTATAGTATCGTAATAAAGACAATAAGACTAAATAATTCAAATCCGAAACTTTATTATACTCCGTAAAGTTTATTATACATGTATACACTATGTCTACAAACAATTTTAATCCAAATTTCGAACATATTTTTTGAAAAATTATATACTGTTTACTATTATATTACTGTGCACGAATGCTTCGATCCATTAAATAAAATTTTTGAATCTTTATTTATGCATTTCAAGAGGTGATAGCATCGCGTAAAGATGTTACGGTAGAACTAAAATCTATTACTGTCGCATAACAATGTTCTCTTTGTTTAGTAGAATAAATATATTTATCCTTGTCGCTTGATGTTATCCTTGTTTACAAAGTGAGGTGCTGCCATCTATCCAGCAAGTTTTGAATTAACGCGAGAAACAATGTGCTGCCATCTATAGGATTTTTCCATTTTATTCTTTTAATACCTCGTTAGATGAGGTATGTATATGACTAGCATGAACCATACATATGTACTTTTTATGTTGTTTTTCAATTCTTTAATTTCATAATGCGTAATTTTTAACAATTCTAATACTAAATACATATATACAAAATAATACATATATACAAAATACAAATATATATATATATACTTTGTTATAATATTTTCTATTCGTCTGTTAATTCTTTAACTTTGCGAAAGAAATTCTTAATTTTTGAGAAGAGAAGTATTCTTACTTTTACACTTACTTTATGACATAAAAATATTTAGACGAAACAAACTCAAGATGGAGACTTCATACTTTAAAAGAAAATCAAGTTAATTCTTTTACGCGCCTGCATTGGGTTAAAGATTAGTTAAAGATTACAGCGCCACTATACGGTGAAATACGCAATACACTTCCTACGATTTTCGAACGTAATCGATATTTCTCACGATCGACTTTTAAACGGCGGAAAGCATGGCGGAAAGAAGCACGCCTCATCTCTAAAGTGGGAAGTGTTATCCAGAAAAATCATTCAGAAAGAGGTATCATCCAAAAGTTCTTAGGTAAAAATATAAAACAATAGTTGTTAGATTTGTGTATGTATTGTATATTTTTAAGATAAAACATGCATTTTTAGCTTCAATTCACAGTAAGATTTTGCCAAATAATTGTTACACATAATTTCCAACAATTAAAGAAATAATGACATATAAACGTTTAAACAGAACATATTATGCTGGAAGTTATTTATAATTTTATGCCAAAATTTAATTTCAATTCTAACCGTTACAAATATATAACATTTTGTCTTTCAATTACGAAGGATATGAATCTGCTAATTTTTATATGAATCTGCTGTCAATAAATTTATTTTTAGACACATGACAAATAAACATATTTATTACTCTATATAAGGAAATACCTAGAAGTATTATATATAGAAATATAAAGAATATACAAATTATATAATATTTCTATATATTTAGAATTATCATATATAAAATTATATAGAATATATAAGTTATGTATAGAATTATATAAACTATATTGTATACAATATACATAGAACAATTGTGCAACTCTCTACTCCCTGTCATTTAATTGCGTAGAACAGTTGAATTTATACGATAGTAGTATTTCAATTTTGCGCGCGTTTTGTATACAAATGTATCGTACCGTTTTAACCAATCAGAAAATAGTATCATTTCAGCCAATCATGAAACAGCGACGACTTATTTTACCGCGGAATGTCATTCTCCTGTTACGAAGCATAACATCAACTTCTCAGCCGATTTCAGGTACATAATTTTAATTCTATAGTACTTCTACTGCTATTTTATTATCATTTATTGTATATTATTATTATTTATTGCATATAAGCCTTATTTAGACAATACATATTTATTTAATAAATTATTATACAGAGAAATTGAATAACTTTTCGAAATGTACTTTTTATGTAATTTTCTACG